ATTGATTTACTACACCGACGTAGCCCGCGGGGAGAAAACGTGGCAGCAGTTTCGGGCAGATTTAATCGAGCGTTTTGAACCAATTAATACAACCTACATGGCGCGGCAGCAGATACACCGACACAAGCAATACAGTAGTGTAACACAGTACACGCAGCAGATGGAGTTACTGTTCAACCGCATCACCGACCTGACCGAAGGCGAAAAAATCCAGGCGTACACCGAAGGATTAAAAATGGAGATTCGGCGGCAGGTGATTGCGGCGAATTACAACAGCTACAGAGACATCGTGCGTGCTGCCGAGCGATACGACGCGCTGACTCGAAGTCAACCTGAAACACGACGCTTCACGCCGAACCGTACATTCGGCACGAAGCGATCGGCACCCCCCACGTTCACCGAACCGATGGATATCGACAAATACGATGCGAAGCAGCAGCCGACAAAATGCGAATTTTGCGGCGCAGCAGGACATCAGTTTTTGTCGTGCTACAAAATGAAGAAAGCACGTGCGGCACTCCGGGACGGAAACAGTGGAGCACCCCCGAAGTCAAAAAACGGGAATCGCCAGTAGCCGCGGATCGACCTGGCGATCGCGTAAAGATCCGAAAAGCAGGAAAAGGCGACGACGTGGCGACTTCGGAGCGGGTGAAAAAAGGAGAAAATGATGGCGCGAATTTAAAACGTCACGACCGGCCGGCATCAGGGGAAATCGCCGAGGCGAATGGAGGCTCCGCGAAAAAAGACTCTGCACCGACCGGGAAACTCCAGCCGAACACCCACGAAAGTAAGAATTCGTTAAAAGTATCCTATAAAGATGCTCTAACGAAGAATATTGCTTCTCGTGGTTTACAAGCCTTCAAAAAATTCAGGGGAAGTCTAGAGGCCAAGAAAAAGCCTTTAGAAATTATTCAGGTACCTGAGAAGTTGGGCAAAATACTACGGAGCGTAGAGAAGGGTCGTGCGTTCCGTGGAATTAATATGCTCTCCCCGCAGCACAGTGTTAAGGCTCCCCGTCGCCCACAGGTGAAGCCTACACAGCTGCCAAGGCTTAGAGGAGACATCCAGGCTCAGGAAAAGTTATACAAGCCTCGGAAAAATCCTCCTACCCCCCAGGTGAAGTTGGAAAGCGCTGAGTCAGGTATAGTAAAAAGGGAAGGTATTAAGTTTGATGTACCCTATGATCCTATTAACAAGACCCTCTTTGGCTACTCAGCACAGCAGAAACCACTACTCCTCGAGGTGTTATGCAATGGGCAACGCCTCCAGGCATTGGTGGACAGCGGTGCATCTCACTCGGTGTGTGACCGCGGAGCATTGGAGAAAATTGGAGAGAAGGCGGAAGAGACCCAGTTTTCAGCAACCATGGTGGACGGTACGAAGCTTCCTATCCATGGCGAAGCATCACTGCAACTGCATATAGGTGCATTGAGGTGGAAGCCGAAGCTACCAGTCACCAACATCAAAGGATTAGATTTTATCTTGGGGCGAGATTTCCTGAAGCAGTTCAACCCCGAGATCGATTGGGTCAACAGCAAGGTGTGCATCTACAACAACGGGAAACGAGTGGAGCTACGAAGCTGGACGGATACAGGGGACGTACCTGAAACGACACTGGCACGGTTCCAACAGACGGTGAACAAGAGTAACACGGGTTACCTAGCACTGGTTATGGCAGCAGCAGAGGAGGAGAAGCCGAGTTCCGAGCTACGTGCAGCAGTGAAAGAGGTCTTGGAGCAGTACAAGGATATAATGCCCGACGACCTACCTGCAGGCGTACCTCCAGCACGCACCCACGAGCACGAGATCGTGGAGGAACCAGGTGCGAAACCCGTCTCACGTGCACCATACCGACTGAGTCCGACTGAACGGACAGACATGAAAAAACAGATAGAGTATCTACTGGACAGACAACTGATCCGCCCATCCACCTCTCCCTACGGCGCACCAGTTCTCTTCACTCCAAAACCAGACGGCAGTCTACGGATGTGCATCGACTACCGCGCACTGAACAAACAGACAGTCAAAAACAAATATCCCATACCGCGCATAGACGACCTACTCGATCAACTGCGTGGAGCAACAGTATTTTCGAAGCTGGACCTACGATCGGGCTACTCGCAGATCAAGATGGCAGACAACTCGATCCACAAGACGGCATTCCATACCAGATACGGCTCCTACGAATACCTGGTGATGCCGTTCGGACTCTGCAACGCACCAGCAACGTTTCAGGCGGAGATGAATCACATCTTACAACCCCTGCTGGACGAGTGCGTGGTGGTGTACCTGGAAGACATTCTCATCTACTCCAAGAACATGAAGGAGCACGTGGAGCATCTACGGAAGGTGTTCGAGATCCTGCGGAACAACAAGTTCTACGTGAAGCTGTCGAAGAGCGACTTCGCCCTGAAGAAGGTGCACTTTCTCGGGCACATGGTGAGTGCCGAGGGCGTACACGTGGACCCACGGAAGATCGAAGCCGTCAAGAAGTGGAAAGTACCAGAGAATGTGAAGGAGTTACAGCAGTTCCTAGGCTTCGCCAACTACTACAACAGGTTCGTGCCGCAGTACGCTAAGATAGCAGCGCCACTAACGGACCTACTGAAAAAGGATACGCCCTACAAATGGGATACCCTTCAGCAGTAAGCCATGGAGCAGCTACAGACAGCACTGACTACAGCGCGAGTACTCATCTTGCCAGATCCAGACAAGGACTACGTGGTGGAAGCAGACGCTAGTGACCAAGCAGTCGGAGCAGTACTGATGCAGGATCACGGACGCGGTTTACAGCCCATCGCCTACCTCAGTAAGAAGCTACACGGAGCAGAACTAAACTACCCCATTCACGACAAGGAAGCCTTAGCGATAGTCATACCCTTCTAGGCGTGGAGGTGTTACCTAGAGGGAGCCAAGACTACAGTCTATACTGACCACTGCAGTCTCAAATACCTGAAGTCACAGCCGACACTCTCACGACGACAGGTGCGGTGGGTGGACTTCCTGGAAACTCACTTCCACTACGACATCGTCTCCAAGCCCGGGCTACACAACAAGGAAGACGCGTTGAGCCGCCCCGGACATGTAGCAGGCATCCAGCTCGACGGGATGAACCCTCTGCTCAAGGGTCTATTCCAACATGGGTACTCCGTGGACGCAGAGATTGCTACAGCACAGACCAAGAAGCTATTACAGTGGGAGAAAGACTTAGCTGTAAGGAAGGGTTCAGGAAAGATTTGGGTACCGAATTACGCCCCGCTACGGCAGATCCTATTGGAGGAGTTTCACGACGTACCTTACGCGGGACATTTCGGGAGCAACAAGACATTAGCAGGGATAGCGAAGTATTAATACTGGCCCGGGATGGCAGCACACGTGCAGCAGTTCGTCACCTCTTGCGACACGTGCAAGCGGATGAAGAGCAGCAATCAGAAAAACGCAGGGTTACTTCAGCCTCTACCCGTACCGGAGCAGCCATGGCAGGTCGTTAGCCTCGACTTCATCACAGGGCTTCCTTCGACCTCACGGGGACATGATTCCATCCTCGTGGTGATCGATAAGTTCTCCAAAATGGGTCACTTCATACCGACCAACGCCACAGCTACAGCTGAAGCAACTGCTCGACTCTTCTTCGACCGCATCATCACCATCCACGGCATCCCCACTACACTCATCTCAGACAGAGACCCCAAATTCACGAGTAAGTTCTGGAAGGAGCTCATGGGACTGTTGGGGACAAAGCTTATAATGTCTTCAGCATACCACCCCCAGACTGACGGACAGACAGAGCGACTCAATCAAGTGGTTGAACAGTTACTGCGCACAGCTTGCAAGGACGACGTCAGCCACTGGGACACACAGTTACCAACCCTAGAGTTTGCTTACAACAACGCATCACATGCGGCCACAGGGAAAACTCCTTTCTTCCTGTATTACGGACGGGAACCACTCACACCACAGCAGCCAACTACACCGGCACACGTCCAAGCCGCACATGACTTCGTCACCACCATGCAGCAGCTATGGGAGAAGACTCAGCGACGTCTCACCACGATGCAGAACTCCCAGAAGCAGTATGCCGATCGTCAGCGACGTGATCACTCAGTACCAGTCGGAGATTAGGTGCTTCTTGACACGCGCAACTTGAACCTGTCTCACCTCCCATCCAAACTCCGGCCTCGCTTCTGTGGTCCTTTTCTCGTTGAGGCACAGGTGACACCAGTTACATTCCGCTTGCGCTTACCAGATACATGGAAGCTTCACAACGCTTTCCATGTCCAGCTACTGAAGCCCTACAAGGACCCCAACCAACAGTTCCAGGGACGGCAACTACCGCCACCACCACCTGTTCTCATACAGGATGAACCCGAGTACGAGATCGAGCGCGTTCTCTCTCATCGGCGCCGCGGTGGCAAGACTCTCGAGTTCCTGATACGCTGGAAGGGATACGACCCCACTGAGGACAGTTGGGTTGCAGAAGCTGATATGGGCAACGCACGCCGTGCTCTCGAGGACTATCTTGTCAAGCAGGGTGTATCTCACGCCACCCAGCTTTGAGGGGGGGACGTGTGAGAGTACGACGGCTTATGCCAGCTATGCTTGCTTGCCTTTACTTTTATCATGCTATTTCTAGCATAGGATATTTATATGCATGCATGAATTGCTTGATTTCCTAGGCTAGGTGCTTTCCTATATTTTATTATAGTTATAGCACCGAGCTAGGTTGCGTGCACCGAATTCTGGCTTTTCGGTTGCCACCGAATTGCCTTCTACCGAATTCGGTAAGGATCTGTTCGGGACGCTTCGCGACCCGCGGAACCTTCGCGTAACACCTGGTTACGGGGCCTTGTGTTGAGCCTATATATAGCCTCGTGTTGTACCAAGGTGGACATTCAATTCAATTCAATTTGAATCATCTTTTCTGAGCTCGATCCCAGATCCTCACAGCCAGCACCTCTAGCTCCAGGGTCTCCAGCTCCAGCGCTCGCAGCACCAACAGCTCAAGCAGCTCCAGTACCTCCGGTACGAGCACCTCCTGGACCAGCGGCTCTAGCACCTCTAGTTCCTCCAGTACCTCGAGTAACAGCAGCACCACCAGCTCCAACAGCTCCAGTACCTCCAGAACAAGCACCTCCAGGACCAGCAGCTCCCGCACCTCCGGTACCTCCAGCTATAGCGCCTTCAGCTCCAGGGTCTCTAGCTACAGCCCTTGCAGCACCACCAGCTCTAGCAGCTGCAGTACCTCCAATACGAGCACCTCCGGGACTAGCAGCTCCAGCACCTCCAGGACCAACAGCTCCAATGCCTCCAGCTCCAGTGCCTCCAGCGACAGACCCCCCAGCTCCAGCAGCACCATTCCGAAGGCGGGTGCGCCGAGCAAACCACTCGCGCAGCTGCGGTGGAGAGAGAGGCTCCCGCCGTGACGAGGCACCCGTAGGACCTCCAGCAAACACAGTACCTCCAAGCTCAGCACCCCCAGACTCAGTACCCCCAGGCTCCACACCCACAGGCTTAGCACCCCCAGGCTCCGCACGCTTAGACTCAGCACCCCCAGGCTCCGCACCCTCGTACTCAGCAACCCCAGGCTCAGCACCCCCAGGCTCCGCATGCCCAGGCCCAGCACCCCCAGACGCAGCACCCCTAGCAGCACAACCCCCACCAGCTCCAGAGTCGACAGCGACCTCAACAGGCTCAGCCAAGAGGAGTGGGTCTACCTGAGACACATTTGAGGGAGCAGGACCGTGAGGGGGGAGGGGGTCTACCGGAGGGGGACCTGGTGCGAGGAAGAGCGGCGACGGGGGGAGAGGGGCAGTGCGGTAGGGGAAGAGACGGTAAAAGGGAACCGACTCGTCAAACGTGACGTCCTGAGAGGGCAGGACACGGCACGTGGTGGGGTGGTAAAATTGCCAGCCAGACGCGTCAGGGGGAAAGCCAATGAAGACACAGGAAATGGCGCGGGAGGAGAGCTTGTCCGCGGAGGCATCGCGGAAAAAGGCATGAGAGCCCCAGAATCGGAAAACTGGCGCATGGCCAACCTCCCCCATCCTACGCAGTGTAGGCGAGGTCTCCGGCAAGGAGACACGGGGCCAGAGGTTGAGCTGATGCGCAGCGTACCGGACCGCAAACGACCACAGAAGATGGGGAGCAGCCGCATGGATCATGGAGGTACGAGCGACCTCCATGACTAAGCCAATGCGACGCTCAGAAACCCCATTTTGCTGCGGAGAGGTCGGAAGCGTGAATGATTGGTGAATGCCCCTCTACACGACAAAAGTCCCGCAAGAGGTCGGAGGCAAACTCACCACCTCTGTCAGAGTGCAGACGCAGGACAGGAAGGTCCTGGCGGAACCGTTTGCGAAGCTGGAGACGGACAGTGCGGATCCAAGGGATCAAAACATCAGGGACCTCCCCCTTGCTGTGCAAGGGGAAGACCGTGGTGTAACGCGAGTAGTCGTCAACAACCAGCAGAAAGTATCGCTTGCAGCCCTGTCCACGGACACGGGCTGGGCCCCACACGTCCATGTAGAGAATCTGCAGGGGAGCAGTAGTCGGGGGAAACGAGGAGGAGTGAGGAACGGCGCGCTGCCGCCCCTCAACACAGGGAAGGCAGGGAGGGGCAGGCAAGGGTGGGAGGGGAGGCAGAGACCTGGGAAGACCAGAGACAAGGAGGCGGGAGTGCATGCCACGGAGGCGTGGTCAATCACAATACTTGCCCTCTCTTTCCTGACAGAGCTAGTTACGGGTGTTCACAGCACAAGCATGGGAAACAATTTCTTACCTGGAGTTCGTGTTACTAGTCAGGGAGAACCAGAAAGCCCTGGGAAAGGAAAGCAATCGAGAAAAAGAATAAATATAATCTGTCAGATTCAGTCATTGTGCGACTCATATTTGCAGTCATCTACGAATTCCATCAATACCCTCAACATCACCAGCACAGCGCTAACCCCATCATCACCAAAGTTACCGTCGACGCCCAGAACTCCCCGCGCCCAGCGTCTGGATGCTAGACACTGGATGCCACGTTGGTCGCTGAAATCCAGCAGCTGGACGCTGATAAAAAACAGAAATATAACCCTTAGTTCTTTTTAAAAAAAAATCCTCTGCTATTGTAACGTGGCCAATGTCTCGTGTGAAACAAGTAAACAGGAATGAAATGACTAAGTCAGAGTTGGGTACAAATACTACCCTAGAAAGCTGTACCCCATATGTGCTACCCCACTATAGCCTACAAACATGCATCAGTTATAATACTCTGACACACCCCCATAGGCAAAGTGGGGGAGAACAAGGGGTCACAAGACCAGTCAAGCAAAGCAAAGCAAAGCAAGCTCAGGGTGGATCACAAAGTCACCACACAGTCCGAGCACAAGAGCAGGGCCAGAGGCCAGTTCACATGCAGGAGTACAGACATATATATAAAACTAGACAAGCAAGAGCAGGTATATATATATGTCACAGTACAAGTGAAGTCAAGAGGAGAGCAAGTGAGGTAAGACAGGCACAAGACCCAGCTGGGTGCAAAAGCGCTGATGGTCACAAGGCGCGAGTGCCTTGGTGAACACATCAGCAGTGTTGGCCTCAGAGGCCACGTACGCAAGTCGCAACTGACCACGCTGCTGCAGCTCACGAGCAAGGAAGTAGCGGAGAGCAATGTGCTTCGTTCTGTGCTCCAAGCGCTGCTCTCGACACAAGGCCAGCATGGCCTTGTTGTCTACGTACAGCACTGGAGGAGAACGAGGCGGCTCTCCAAGGTCAGTCAGCAGGTAGGTGAGCCAGCGAAGCTCCTGTGCAGCCATGGCCCCTGCGTAGATCTCAGCCTCACAACTGGAGCCGAGAACCGAAGACGAGCGAGTAGACCGCCACGAGACAGAGCCGGAACCAAGGCTGAAGGTGTAACCCTGTGACGACCGCTGCGTAGCCTGGTCGTCAGCCCAAGAAGCGTCCGCGTGGCCGGTAAGGACCACTGGACTCCGCCCTCCAAGCACTAGCCCCATGCCCGACGTACTGCACAGGTAGCGCAATACCCTCTTCGCTGCAGCCATGTGCTCTGGTCGGTGTCTCCCAGGAGCAACATAGCGTGCAAGAATGCTCAGAGGGTATGCAAGGTCAGGTCGTGTGCAGGTCATCAGGTACATGAGGCAGCCAACAAGCTCTGCATACGGACCACTCGACTCTACGGACTCATCCGAAGGCAGAGCTGAGAGTGAGTGGCGAGTAGGCAGAGGAGTGGCCTGAGGCGAGGAGTACGTGAAGCCGAAGCGCTGAAGGACCTGCTGCACCATGTGTGACTGAGTCAAGGTAATGGTGCGGCGTGCTCTGTCCCGAGTGATCTGCAAGCCAAGGTAGCTGCGCAGTTCACCCAGGTCTGTGCACGTGTGTCTCTTCAGCAGCTCGGACTTCACGTAGGCGAGTCCAGCAGTGTCCGCTGTGGCAAAGACCAAGTCGTCGACGTACACGAGGATGTAGAACGGCGGCAGTGAAGTGTCGGTGCGCAGAAACAGCGACGGGTCAGCAGTAGAAGGAGCAAACCCAAGAGCCGCAAGCGTAGTCCTCAGTGTGTCGTGCCACTCACGTGGTGCCTGGCGGAGACCGTAGACTGGCCGTCGGAGGCTCCACTGGGTGCCAGGAGGGAAAGTCCCAGTGAAGCCAGGTGGACGGCGAAGCCAGATCTCCTCGTGCAGGCTACCCTGCAAGAACGCAGTGCTGAAGTCGAGAGAGTGAAGCTCGTAGTCGCGCTGAGCGGCTATGTGCAGCAGCACCCGAAGAGTAGTCATCTTCGGGGTGGGAGAGAAGGTCTGAAAGTAGTCAACTCCCTGCCGCTGACTGAAGCCACGAGCAACGTACCGTGCCTTGAAGAAAGGTGGAGAACCCGGCGGCCGCTTCACCCTGAAGATCCACATGCCACTGACGATGTTCGCCCCAGGAGGGGGAACCGCGTCAACGTAGGTGCCTGTGGACTTCCAGGAAGCCATCTCTGCATCCATAGCTGCCTGCCACTGAGAGGAGTAGGGACCCTCTACGGCCTCCGCGTAAGAACGCGGAGTCGGGATGTCTAGTGCATCCGGGTCTCCCTCAGGGGCAAGCAGTACAGACGCGAGATGAGGTGAAGCAGCCGCTAGACACAGGAACTCCTCCTGCCTGTCCTCTAGGACGTCCGTGCCAAGAGCACACTCACCCCCGACGGACGGAGGACAGACAGACGCAGACTCAGCAACAAGACTAGCAGCGTAGTCGAGACGACAGCGAGCAGCAAAGTCGACGAGCTCAGCGACTAGAGCGGACGCAGCAGTGGACTCAAAAGCGGGGTCAGTGACGACAGTAGCAAGTAGACGCGTGACAGTAGGACTGGCAGCACGAAGAGAGTCCGACTCAGGGTCGGCAAGCGCAGGAAGAGAGGACTCAGGAGGAGAAGGCAAAGGGGCACGCAGAGGAGCAGTGGACGGACGCAAAGACATCCGGTGCGTGCCAGGGACAGGAGGAGGACGCTGACGCGAACCGCGACCACTAGCGCGAGCAGCACGAACAGGCGACGCGGGACGAGACGCAGGCTCACGACGCTCAGTAAGACCTCCAGTAGGACCAGTGTAAGGAGAGGGAGCAGGCAGTGGAGAGGAGGGCTCCAGCAGGGACTGCGACTGGACAGGCGGTGGACCCTCTACTGGAGGAGAAAGACCAAGAACCTGCTCCAGGAGCGAACGAAGTACGGCCGAGGCCGCGCGGCAGCTCCAGACTCAGCAGGGACAGCACCAGCACCCTCAGCGACAGCACCAGCGCCACCCACACCTCCAGCGGCAGGACCAACAGCAGTAGGCTCAGCACCAACGCCCTCAGCAGCTCCAGCTCCAGGAGGACCCGCAGGTCCAGCAGCTCCGGGACCGGCAGTACCCGCACCTTCGACGGTCAAAGAAGCTCCAGCTCCAGCTCCAGCAGCACCTCCAGACTCAGCAGCACGCCTTCAGCGGCGAGCGAACCACTCGCGCAGCTCCTGTGGAGAGAGGGGCTCCCGGCGAGACGCAGCAGTAGGAGAAACCCCAGGCTCAGCAGCTCCAGACGCAGCACCTCCAGGCTCAGCAGCTCCCAGCTCAGCACCCCCAGGCTCAGCAGCTCCCGACCCAGCACCCCCAGACCCAGCACCTCCAGGCACAGCACCCCCCGGCTCAGCACCCCCAGGCTCCGCACCCTCCGCAGTAGCACCCCCAGGCCCAGCACCCCCAGCAGTAGCACCCCCAGGCTCAGCACCCCCGCGCACAGCACCCCCAGAGTCAGCACCCCCAGGCTCAGCACCCGCAGCAGTACCAGAGTCACCAGTAACCTCGACCGGGTCAACGGCGTCTACCTGGGACACACCTGAGGGGGCAGGAACCTGAGGGGGGAGGGGGTCTACCGGGGGGGGAACCGGCACAAGGAAGTCCGGGGGAGGGGGGAGGGAAGGAGTGCGGTAGGGGAAGAGACGGTAGAAGGGGACTGACTCGTCGAACGTGACGTCCTGGGAGGACAGAACACGACGAGAGGAGGGGTGGTAAAACTGCCACCCTGGGGCGTCAGTTGGGAAGCCAAGGAAGACACAGGGAGCAGCACGAGGGGACAGCTTGTCCGCAGACAAGTCGCGGACAAACGCCCGAGATCCCCAGACACGGAACACAGACGCATCGCCAACCTTCCCCGTCCACAGCAAGGCTGGGGACATCGCAGGCCGAGAGACCCGGGGGTGAAGGCTGAGCTGATGCGCCGCGTACCTCACCGCAAACGGCCACAGAAAATGGGGGGCAGCCACATGCATCATGGACGTACGAGCGACATCCATGACCATGCCAATGCGGCGCTCAGCAATCCCATTTTGCTGTGGTGAGTCCGGAAGCGTGAAGGTCTGGCGGATCCCCCGTGCACGACAGTAGTCTCGCAGAAGGTGAGAAGAGAACTCTCCGCCTCTGTCCGAGTGCAGACGCAGAACAGGGAAGTCAGAGCCGAAGCTCTTCCTGAGCTGGAGACGAGCCTCGCGGATCCAGTCGATCAGCACCTCAGTGACCGCACCCTTGCTGCGCAAGGGGAGGACTGTGGTGTAACGCGAGTAGTCGTCAACCACCAACAGGAAGTAGCGCTCGTGACCCTGCCCACGGACAGGGGCTGGGCCCCACACATCCATGTGAAGCGTCTGCAGGGGAGCCTCTGTCGGGGGGAAGTGGGAGGAGTGAGGAGTAGCCCGGAGGCGACCCTCGACACAGGGGACACAGGAAGGTCCTGGCCCGGAGGGGAGAGGAGGGAGAGACTGGGGAAGACCAGAGACAAGGACACGGGAAGCCATGCTCCGAAGACGGGGCAAGGAGGGGTGGCCAAGACGGTGGTGCCACAGGAGAGTCTCGTGAGACGGGAGGCGACAAGAACAGGGGGCAGACTCAGGACCTGACCGGGACGCAGCAGCAAGCACCTGACCTGACGCAGCCACCTGACCAGACGCAGGGACAGGAGGAGACTCAACGGTCAGGGTGTAGAGACTCGACCCCGGCCGACGCGAGAACGTGGCC